ACCTTTGTTGTGGAATTGGTCCTTTCCGTCCATTTCCGTTAAGTCCTCCGTTAATTGAGTATAGAATGATTTTGAATTCTTCTTATTTTTGTCTCAATTTTTAGGGATTATTACGGGATGTCAAACGAAGTCGAAAAATTGTATTTTTAATACCATTTCGAAGTTCTCACGACCTAATTTCCTCCATTCCTAATAGCGTGCGAAACGGTCAACCGTCGCGAAAGTTACCACTCATCAAAGTAGGCCGTTCGAAATATATAAATGATTTTTCTTATTTTTATTTCAATTTTATGGGATTATCACGGAATGTCAAACGAAATCAAAATATTGTATTCTTAGTACCATTTCGAAGTGCTCACGGCCTACTTTCCCCCATCCCTAACGTGCGAAACTACCCACCGTAACAAAAGTTACCATTCGTCGAAGTATACTGTTCTAAAATATATAAATGATTTTTCTTATTTTTATCTCAATTATACAGGATTATTAAGGGATGTCAAATGAAGTCGAAATATTACATTCTTAATACCATTTGAAGTGCTCACAACCTACTTTCCCACATCCTTAACGACGTGCGAAATGACCAACCGTAGCGAAAGTTACCACTCGTCTAAGTATGCCGTTCCAAAAATAAGAAAAAAACATTTATAAACAATTTTGGTAACTTTCGCTATGGTTGACTATTTTGTACGACGTTAGGGATGAGAAAACTAGGTCGTGAGAATTTCGAAATGGTATTAAGAATTCAATATTTCGACTTCATTTGACATCCCGTAATAATCCTGCATAATTGAGACAAAAATAAGAAAAATCATTTATATATTTAGGAAGAGTATACTTCGACGAGTGGTAACTTTTGCTACGATTAGCCGTTTCGCACGCCGTTAGGGATGGGGGAAAGTAGGCCGTGAGTGCTTCGAAATGGTATTAAGAATACAATATTTTGACTTCATTTGACATTCTGTGATAATCCCGTAAAATTGAAACAAAAATAAGAAAAATAGCTTATATATTTTGGAATGGCTTACTTCGATGAGTGATAACTTTCGCGACGGTTGGCCGTTTCGCACGCCGTTAGGGATGGAGGGAATTATGTCGTGAGCACTTCGAAATGGTATTAAAAATACAATATTTCAACTTCATTTGGTATCCCGTAATAATCCCTAAAAATTGAGATAAAAATAAGAAGAATTCAAAACCATTTAATACTCAATTAATGGAGGACTTAACGGAAAGGACGGAAAGGACCAATTCCGCAACAA